ACATTTAAAACGCTGGCTTTAAAATAAAGACATAAGCTGTTAGTGGCTATCTGTGCACATCGCCCGTATTTGTTTATGCTCAAATTTTCGGGTTAATGGGCCATGTCATAGGCCCAGATTCATTTGGAGTCTGTAATATTGGATTTACTTGGTTGCAAAGTACAACTGGGCCAGTATGTGAAATTGGAGTCACTGAACTCTACAGCCGATGGTCCAACGTTCAAGGTCCATAAATGGTCCTTCAGCTCACCAAAGAGCTGGCCTCTCTAAGGCCGTTTTTGGGCTTCAATCTAAGCCCACTTGTGAAATGCCTAGCCTGTTGGATCCTCTTTGGAATTTTTACATTCCTATCCCACTTATGAAATCTTTTTTACCTACATGTTTAAGGTTTCACTTAATTACATTTAGCATACCAAATTACCATTTATATACCATATCTAATTAAGGTTATAATTAATGTGATATTTTATACTCCTTAAATTAAGCACTTCCGTTATTTGACAGTACTAAGTACTAATCCTCACTTTCTCTCTCCTAACCCCTCATCCCCATACCCCTCCACGTTCTTTGTTTTAGGGAAGAAGTTGAGTTGAATCTTTGAGATGACAAACAGAGGAGAGAATGAAACGGGATTGAAGAAAGTCAAAGACTCAGATTTCGTTGATCTATTTTCTTCTTCTTTTCTGTTTTGCACTTTCATTTGGCTTATTTTGTTATTGATTTTTAATTACTTTCTCATGTCGATCGAAATCAGTTTTTTTTTTTAAAAGTATTTTATTAAAAGTACTTTAGGTGAAAAATAATTATTTTTTAATTAATTAATTTGAAAAGCATTTTGACCATCAATTAGTATTTGGGCAGGCTTTTAAAAACTATCTCTAATTATTTTTCGGAAAGCTATTTTTTCTGTTCCAAAATTGCTTCTGCTTCTCCTCAAAAATAATTTTTTTTTCTTCTAAAACCTTGGTCAAACACTTCAACTTTGAAAAAAATATAATCACCCAAAAAACTAGGTAAATATTTGTAGTTTTTTGTAGAAATTTTGTAGATGAAGAGCAAATTGTAGAAATGTGACATCCACAATTAATCTGCAAATTGTCTGCAAAATTTTACAAAAACTACAAATTAACTACATTTAACCTACATTATAACTACAATCTGGAAACAATTTACACATGGAAGTTCTTCAAGTTGGAATTGGCCACAGCTACATTTCTTGTTTTCTAGACACACAATATACCGCTTCACACCATCCAACACAGTATGTATATGATCTGTTGAAGCCCTCACCTACATTTTCAGAACAAACACAAAGAAAAAAAATTTACAATATTAAAAATATAGTATCTACAATATATCTACATATTTATCTACAAATTAACTACAAACTATAAGTAAACTACAATTTGCCTACAATTTATCTACAATCTGGAGACACTGTATATTAAAATATTTTTTTCCTGCACCAAATAAAGAAATTATAGTCAAATTGTAGATATATGTAGTAAATTTGTAGATAATATCATAAAACTAAGAAGACCTATTGCTGTTATTTTTTTCTTCTCATTTTTGTTTTTTTCTCCCTTCTTTAAGTTATTGTCAATGATCTGCCTTTGAACTCTCCACTTTATGTCCATTTAATTGGTAAATCTTAGAAGCTGTTAGTAGTTGAATATTTTCGTAGTTTTTGTAGCTGTTAGTAGTTCAATATCTGTTCGTTTTTTTTTTCCTTCAGAATTTGAATTATAGTTCTGGAGAAAAAATCGCATATATGAAATCTCCTTTCCCTTTTTAAAGATTGAATTTAATGTAGAATCAATTATCACCAAGAATCTCTCCTTAATTTTAGTGCGTTTTTAAGGAATATTCTGATCCATTAATGCCTGATTTTCTAATGGTACAATTTTTGTAGGTAAAATGTGGACTGGGCGGGTAATATACAAAATATGCACATTTTTAGTAATAAACTTTCATATATGATATAGGAAGGAAAAAATCCCCATTTTAATACATTTTTATACAGCTAGTAATTGAGATACACATGAGAGAAAAATGAAAAAAAATAAAAGGAACCACACCGCTTTGGTTTAATCTGATGCCTTGCCAAACAAAGAAAAAAATAATTCAAACAGAAAATCACTAATTTAGAAATAGGGCAGAAGACTATCCTATAAGAGGGAATGTAAGATAAACGTCAACCAAGTGGTTCAAGTAAGAGATTATCATTAATTCAACTTTTACTTTAGTGCATCAAAATTACTAAACTATTCTTTGTGACAAAAAAATTATCAAACTCTACCCAAATATGGTAAACGTAGATCAGAAGGGGGTTTTGACACAGTTACCCACAAAAACAAAACTATTTACCCTTGTCTACCCATTTGTTTTTCTACCCATAAACTAATTACATTTCCTACCCATAGTAATTTTTGTGNGTAGATGAAGAGCAAATTGTAGAAATGTGACATCCACAATTAATCTGCAAATTGTCTGCAAAATTTTATAAAAACTACAAATTAACTACATTTAACCTACATTATAACTACAATCTGGAAACAATTTACACATGGAAGTTCTTCAAGTTGGAATTGGCCACAGCTACATTTCTTGTTTTCTAGACACACAATGTACCGCTTCACACCATCCAACACAGTATGTATATGATCTGTTGAAGCCCTCACCTACATTTTCAGAACAAACACAAAGAAAAAAAATTTACAATATTAAAAATATAGTATCTACAATATATCTACATTTTATCTACAATTTATCTACAAATTAACTACAAACTATAAGTAAACTACAATTTGCCTACAATTTATCTACAATCTGGAGACACTGTATATTAAAATATTTTTTTCCTGTACCAAATAAAGAAATTATAGTCAAATTGTAGATATATGTAGTAAATTTGTAGACAATATCATAAAACTAAGAAGATCTATTGCTGTTATTTTTTTCTTCTCATTTTTGTTTTTTTCTCCCTTCTTTAAGTTATTGTCAATGATCTGCCTTTGAACTCTCCACTTTATGTCCATTTAATTGGTAAATCTTAGAAGCTGTTAGTAGTTGAATATTTTCGTAGTTTTTTGTAGCTGTTAGTAGTTCAATATCTGTTCGTTTTTTTTTTCCTTCAGAATTTGAATTATAGTTCTGGAGAAAAAATCGCATATATGAAATCTCCTTTCCCTTTTTAAAGATTGAATTTAATGTAGAATCAATTATCACCAAGAATCTCTCCTTAATTTTAGCGCGTTTTTAAGGAATATTCTGATCCATTAATGCCTGATTTTCGAATGGTACAAATTTTGTAGGTAAAATGTGGACTGGGCGGGTAATATACAAAATATGTACATTTTTGATAATAAACTTTCATATATGGTATAGGAAGGAAAAAATCACTTCTTAATAAAATATCAGTCTTGTTTAAGCAGCATCACATAAAATACCAATGATCCCCTCTCTCCTTTTCGTTGGTTTTATTTTCAAAGTACTTGTATTTGTTATACTGGAGGGTAATATTATAAAAAAAAATCGTTTACCAGGACCTTAATAGAGCATATTCTTTTAAGATTACTGCTACTCGCTTCTTCTATCCACCAATAGTTTCGAAAAGTGTCAAAATCAGGTAATATATTGACTATAATACTTGCCATTTCCCATAACTTATGTACAGAATCTGTTAGTCCTCCCCACAGTAAATGCTTGTTAACGAAACCCTTAGCAAAAAGTATATATGTACATCACACTAAGGTCCACCCTCATTGCCCGAGCGGGTTGTGCTCTTGGAAAGTAACATATCTTTCAATTGTGTGTAAGTTTTGAGCTCCTCCAATGCGTCAGATGCCTTTCTAGGAACATAGAACCCTGATGCAGTGCCAGTTTCTCCCTCTACTTCTGTTTTTACAGAACGCGAGGTATAACAGCTAGAATCTTGACGCAAAGGGGGGGCAGTCCTCAGCATGTGAACAAGGGCACCTACAGCAGCGTCTTGAGATTTTCTGGTTGTTGCAGATGCTTGAGAAGATGTGTCTGAACCTTTTCTTGAATCAAGGGTCTGTCTGCATAACAAGAACAATAAACACCTGTTGAGTTGAAAAAGTAAGATAGGCAAAACTGAAGATGTGAAAAACTATGACAAACTCTTAGCTTCTTGTCTGTCAGCAAAATTTATTTGGTTGGATGTAAGATCTCTTCCCTAACATAATTACTCCACTTAAGGCAGTCATGATAAAAATGGATCTCAAGTCATATCAAACTACTGAAAATGGAAGTTGAAAGCCCAACTTGAACTTATTTTAAAGTACTTCGCGATCAGATTCGTCTCCAATCTATCCAGTATTCCTTACCTCAAGTTAAATCTTCCATGCTCAAGTTTTTTTTAGCTAACTGTTACTCCCTCTAACACTGGGACACATATATGCCAATAGTTTCCATTTTCAACTTTCTTAACCTTGCCTGTAAACTGTGCTATTTTTCTGCTTCTTCAACTCCTGGAAGTACTGCCTGGATTCCCCTAAATCTTACCAAGCCACTAACCAACCCAACCACAAAAAAACTATTCTTTCCAATGAACTGGAAGCCGCAACACCCACAACTTGGGACCCCTGAAAATTTTCGGGAGCTCCAAATGAAGTCAGCGCATGCAGTGTACTCTTTTGAAGTCAAAAGACGAAGGCTTCCTTTTGAGCCATCATTTAGGGGCCAGACACCAAAAAAACTTTAAGGTGTAACAAGTACAAAAGGAGGCCCTCGACAACGGCAAAAACAGCTTATATTTTCTCCTTCAGTGATTTGATGTGTAAGAGTTGTGATAAGTACTAAACAAATATTCAATAACGTAAATTATGCTAGGGTCAAAGGAGCATATTACTAAATTAGTTTGACGAAAATCCTTATCTGAGAAAATTCGTCCCAAATTCCATTCCCTATGGAACCTATCAAATACCGACAGGAAGCAACTTGCTCATAATTCTCCTCCCATAGTATTAGAGTTCTAAACCTGCACTTTTCGAGTCCTTAGTTGAGAACCCAATCTCTGAGTCCAAATGCGACCGCAAACCAGTTAAACAAGTGAGACCAATGAAAAACAGAAAAAACTGCAGGACAAGAAAGATCCAAACAATCAGTTTAAAGAACAATAAAGGACTTGAGAAGAAACAAGGAGGGTTATTTTTCTCTTTTCTTCTAATAAGGAAAGAAACAAAGTAAGTTATATCAGTCGATTAGGGGTGTCAAATGGGCGGGTTGGGCTGATTTTGGGCGGGTCAAAATGGGTTGAGTCAATAAATAGATAGTCAGTGACCCGGCCAAAAGTTACGGGCTGGTTAAAGATGGGCTAAAATTTGAGTCATAGCCCAACCCGCCCAACTCTTATCAGGCTTTAATTAATGTATTGTTTTTTATCAATTGTTTAATTATCAAATAAGACTTTCTTTTGTTATACTCATATATAACACATCAAACAAAAAAGAACATTTTTAAGATCTTTTAGCAAAGTTACTCAGGGATCAATTTGGGCTAAATCAGCCAAACTTTAGATGCGTTGGGCAAGGTCAAGATGGGTTGAGTTCAACAAATGAGCGGGTTGAGCGGGTCAAATAGGTTTGGGCTCGAATTGCCACCCCTACAGTCAATAAAGGAAAACTGATGTGATTCTCAGTTACCGAAAATCAAATGTGTCCTCACGGACACTTAATGAAAAAAAAAAAGAAAATAAGAAATAATAGTGTCCAAGAGGGCAAATGGGATTCCCCAATATTTTAGCTAAATGAAGTTCTTCTCCGAACAAATCTTAGGCTTCTACATATCTGATGTGCCCTCAAGGTCAAATGATATATCACCAATACAGCTAAGATATTATTTTTGTTGTAGAATGTATCATTAAGCTCTATCTGCATATTCACAATTCCAGATAATATATAGCATCAGAGAACTAACAAACATTCTGTCTAACACTTGAAAGCGCTAAATTAGGATGGTAACAAAAAATCTCCTCTTTTCATAGAACTAAAAATGAAAAATTGGGCACAGAGTACCATTGCTATTTCACCAGTCTCTACTATCATTGCTATTTCAGCACAAAGTATCATGACAAATTGAACCTTTTATCCCATAATGATCAACCAAATTCGTTTGAGAAATTTCTCAATCAAATCAGAGGAAAGAGGAGAAAAATACAAAAGAATTTATGAACTAGTTCATAAGCAACCATTACTATTATGCAATTGCATACCATTTTGCCATCCTTAGAATGGCCTGTCAAGAATCCCAATGATGGAAAATGAAGTAGTAACTTGAGAATTGCTATACCATCATCTATATTATTATAAAAGTGGGAAGCTCCCAACTTAAAAGTCAAATTACTAATTTACCCTTATCCTATTAACTTGAACAAAAAAAGTCTAAAATACCATACGCCTGTTCGAAGAGGCTTCCTTCTAACAATCACCATCCTGAAATGTTGCACCGTTTCATTTCATTGTTTATAAAGCCAGAAGCCGATGACACTTTTCCCTCAATCCTGGATCTTCTCTGTTAACCTAACAGGTTTGCCCTCTTACCTCTTATTCAATGAATATTAAATTTATAAAATTTGTATAAATTTTACTTTATCTATTTCAATTTACATGGCATATTTTTCTTATTAAAATAAGATAGATAGATAAATATATTCATTTATATTTTTTTAGTTGTGGACAAAAATAATATATATATAACTTCCATAACTTAAAAAGTTAAATTATCAAAAAATCCTTTAGCAAAACTTAAATACCCTACGTATACAAATACAAAAAGAAAAGAAAAAAAAACTTATCCAACAGTCACAACCGTTGGTGAAACAAAGTAGAATCATTATTCTAAACACCATTGTTAAGATAGAAAATAGAATTATGTCCCTCTTGCTTCTTATATTAATGCCTTCATAATATAGTTACAACACAGAAGTTCCAACCGCTAAGGTATATTAGATATCACTCTTTTTCAATCCAAAGATCCTAATTGAACGGCTTGAAATTTCTCTGTTGGAAAATGCAAGAAGGCTTCAAGCCTTTCCAACAAGGTTTGAAGCCTTGATTTATAGGAAATTTTCGTCATCGACAAAAGACATGCATTTCCAGTATTCTACTCTTACTCGGAAATAAAGAAGCCTATTGCATCTTCAAACCGATATTAACTTGGGATTGACCAATTATATATCATCAACAACGTACTTTATGTCTCAAAACGGTATTCTCCAAGGAAAATTGTCTCAATGGGATGAATCAAGGAGAAAGTGGCCAGCAAATGGGGTTCCACTTTCTTTACTTTACATATTTTTAATTAATTTTTTACTCTATCATTTATAAGATTCTATTTTCGATAATTTTCATGTTTTTTATGTGATGAGATCAAAATATATTTTATTCGCATATTGTGATGGTTGGAAATATAGTTAAAGGTTAATTCTATTATATTACTTTTTCCGAATGATAAATCTTTTTGTTAGTATACAATTTGATTGCATGTATCAAATATGTGAAAAGTTATTTTCAAGGTTGGAAGCTACAAATTATACTTATACTAATATTTGAATTTTTTTGATATATATATATATATATATATATATATATATATATATATATATATAAGTTGAGTCAATAAAAATATACATATGTTTGTTTGATCAGAATAAACGATCAAATTTTGATATGTTTAAGGATTTCAAAATATTAGTTGAAAATCCATTAAAAATAAGTCAAAATCTTTTCAACGAAAGGAAGCATATAAAAAAATTAAAAATTTCTAATTGGAAATTAAAGCAACCCAAAATAATCCTACAAGGACGGTTGATAACGTAGTAACTCAAAGCTGATACTATATATGGTAATTGTGTAATACAATAACTATGGACAACATATAATATGAAATTTAATTCCATTTTGAATACGAGAAAGGACATATAATCTCTTATTAAATTTAGGAGGAATCACAGAGTTAGATTGAAAAAAAGAACATAAATTTGGATTTAATTCTTCTCACACAATGGTAATTTGGCTCCTTTAGTCAATTTGCTGCGTATGGGAAAGTAGAATACAATAAGACTATAATTAAGTAGAATATTTATTGTTTAGTGTGGTTAGATAGATGATGGATCATATTGCTTTGACATTATATTATTATTTTAAATAATTAGCTCCTTTAGTTAACATCTTGTATACGAAATTTTTTTACTCGGTAATGGAATTATGGTGTGGCTTAAGTTAATGGTCAATGGGCAAAGTTTGGTATTTGTTTGCAACAAACTTTCAGTCCTTGGATGTATCTAATTAAAATTTGATTGCTTATCTTTATAGGTAATTTTTATTGATAAAATTTATACTTTATTTTTTACATGTATAATTATTTTACTTAAAACTTTAGTTTACGAATATTAACATTATTTTATAAACTGTAATACCACTTGACCCAGCATACACGTGCAACGCACGTGCCGATGAAACTAGTATGCTATAAAGACAGAAAGGAGAGGAAGAACCTAGCTCAAAAGTATAAAGCCAAATGGTAGTTGTTCTAGTTGCTTTTGGCCAGCCAAATTACTGGGAGGCGGTGGAAGAGAATGCAAATGCTAACATGAAAATTGCCAGCAGTAGATTAGTGCTGCTGCTAGTGAGAGAGGGAAGGAACTTTGGGTAGAGTTGGTAAAATAACCCTTTGAGCAACAGATTTAGTTGATAGAAGAATGGGGTTGTTGCACTTAAAAGTTGTCAAGGGTGTGAGGCTTCCAAACAAGTGATAACTTTCCTGTTTTGAGAAACGGGAAGCAACACTCACAAAATTTGTTCTTGATTCCAAAAATAGAGGAAAAAATTTCTACAACCAAACAACCCTAAACTAAAGCTTCAGCAGTTGCAAGGTTAATAAACTGCAGGCCAACAACTGAAGAAATATGGTTATGGTATACGAGAGGCATCCGGAAAAAGATTTGCAGACAACATATCTGAAGAACTTTGCATGGAAAAAGATTCATTTTCTGTTCTCACTGAATCTTATTTAGGCTTCTAATAAAAACATCTTAACGAGTCTAGTTTTATAAGATTGTATCTACTTTTGGGATACTTAACAAGATAACATCTAGGAGTTTTGAAGTTCTAGCATGTCCTAAAGAGAATTCTCTTATGAGCTCTGAAAAACTAGTAACTATAATATATCCATATTGGTGCGCATGTGTATAATGTGTGTGTCGTATGCTCACCACAATTGCCTGGTTTTGTTTGGCAAGGAACCATTCTTTCAGTAGATTTTACCACTTCATCCAACTTTTTGAATCAAATTCACTTATTTCACACACGAGACAAAACTTAAAAGCGCAAACTTAAAGTATGCAGGTAAAACAATAGTAGGTGTTTTTCCCACTAATTCGAAGTTTACATGCATAAATAGACTCCATCAAATTTTAAAGTAGCATAGCACTCACAAAGTAATAAATAATCTAGAAAATAGGTGATATATGAAGGGCAGATCAAAGATCAAAAGGCCAGAAGAAAGTGGAGAACCTTTGAGGACAGAGTAAAAAGGAAAGCGGGATAAAACATAGCTAGCTACGCATCAGCTCCTCATCTCAAGGAGAACAACGACAGTAATGTAAAGCAAAAATTGGATAGACCTAAATTAGCTGATATCTAAGCACAAAATGAGGAGCTTACAACCTTGGAATCTATATCATATTATTGCTATATCCTTCCATTAAGTGAAAAGGGAATGATTGTTGACATTCTTCCCAATAGTTTACATATTGGATTTTTTAGTTGAAAAAGAACTTCAAGTTGAAAATTCATGTCTAAAATGAGAATGATAGCTTCATGGCCCGTTCACTGTGGAAATGCTAACTTTGTCCTCACAGTTACATCAAAAGCTCAATTCCCAATACTATCTGAAGCCCAGTTTCTTATGATGTCCAACCTGTTGGACAAACTATATGGCCACATAAATGGCTATAAAACCAATTATCTAAAAAAACCAATTATCTAATGACAGAGGCAGCAATATACATAGCAATTTTGTAGTGCAACAGATACAAATAGGGAATAAAGAGAGTAGATATGCTTAAGAGCCCTAAGAGAGCACATAGATGTGAGCCTTTTATATATCAGTTGTGTAATTAGTTTTTCTGTGAGGTCTTGTATCTTTGGTATCTAGAAGGTGGCCAAGATATTAGATGCTCTTCAGATGTATTAATTTTCTTTGTTATGGTAATATTTCACAGTAATTACCAAAAATAATGACAGATAAACTTTGAAGAAAGTGAATGCAGAGATGTACTGTTCACATGAAGAAGAATACTTCTACAGATACGGTATGCTGTAGAAAAAATTACCTGGCTCTAGAATCAGCATTATCAACATCATCAACTATAAAAGGACAAGAAAAATCACAGTCATCCAAGTCATCCTGAAAAGATAATCTGCTAGAACTTCTAGAAAACCCAACACGTGGTGAACCACTTGAAGATAATAAACCTGAAAACCGTCCTGAATCGTCTCTAGCATCTGTAGACACCTGAAAAAGAAGCACACAAGCGAAAGTTAGCAGCTGGCTGAAAAAGAGCTCAACCAGATCCTATTTTTAAATAAAAATATTTTAACTAGAAAATGCACACATTTAGTAAAAAGTAGAAACTGCCCACCTTTTGTCCAGGATTAGTAGTCCCAGTATCTGACTCTGGAGCCCTTAGCAAATCCACTTTTCTCGATGACCTAATTCCAGAAGGGGATTCATGGGATGATGAATCATGCTTTGTGCTTCTAGGTGACATAGGTGGGAGAGAATGCCTGTTTGGATCAGACAAATTAGGAGATATGTGTTTGGAACTTCTGCCCATCAATGGATGAGGGATACTGACAGGACCAGTTTCTGAACGCAAACGAGTCTGCACAGGATTTGCACCTGAGAAATATGTGGGTGGAGAAGGAGATGGAGATGGTGAAAATGGAGGGGAAAGCTGGTCGTCATCATAATTAGTTTCTTTCTGGAGAGTGGGCAACCTGTAGTTAGGTGGTACCCTCTGTCCATACACATCACCGGGCGAAGTTGAAAGCTCATATGGTGCACGGTACAAAGGTGGAGATCCTACATATGGTTGAGGTAAAGAAGGTGCCCTGAGGAGACCACTAGTCCAACTTTGTGGACGCTGAACTGGTGCTGAAGAAGATGACTGTGTCCTTCTCAATGAAGGACCCTTATCCATTGAGGTAGAAGGGAATGACCTCATAGGGTCAGTGAGTGGACTGCCAACATAATCTGTAATGATCTCAGGCGGAAAGGATGCAGAAGTCTCCAGGTTGAAGTCCGCCAGATTTTCCCGATATGTCACAGATAAAGAAAGTCGGCCTTGCTGGGAATCAACTGGGATAAAAGTATATTGTTTCATCAACGCCTCCTCCGCCCTTGAGAATGGCTCACTAAATGAAGACACTTTATAATTGATATCAAAATAACAACTCTGACTTGACAATGATAGTTTCCTGAAGGCCTTGAATGCAGGCAGGAGCCTCATCATTGAATAAAGCGAGCGGAGTAGTATAATGCATTTCTTGTATGTTTTTTTGAAAGAGGAATCACCCATGTGCGGAACCATTAACCTCCGATTCTCACATTGTACAACCCACCTCTCCACAACAGTTTCTGTATATCCTCCTGCAAATCCTGTACTCGAATCGTGCTCCAATGAAGTACTAGATTTATCCTGAACAAGTATTATATCTATTATCATCGGTTCCACCAAATTCCGGTGCAACAGATTCAAGTTATCAAGAACAGCAGGACGATCTCCCAACACCAAATTGAACCACCTGTCACTCTTCTTCACTTCCCCACTACCACCATAAGGTCGTATCGAAGGAACCCTTGAGTCCAAAATAATATGCAAGCTTTTAAGAAGAAACTGAGAAAGTATTTGCTCAAATCTTCCATGTTCACCCCCCTGTGGGTTACTCTGAAAATCCATTTGTCTTTCAAAACAGATAACCACAACTATTTTTGGTCCTCAGCCATGTACAATTTGGTCCAGTACATTATAACTTCCAAATAATGGATAGACAAAACAGATAACCGACTGAGTATTAGCTCCGTCATGTGGGCCACTATGTCTTGATAATGAACCTAAAAATTTATGCATAAAGATCAAACAAAAGCTATGTAAAACTCAATCTAACAGTGACCAAAGTAGTTTTCGGATTGAGGCATAGTAGCTCTTGACAAATTATATCAAAATAAAAAGAATCCGACAACCTCGACAAATATCAAAAGATGTTCAAGGAGCAGGTCGGAAAAATCATGCACAAATATATTAATATGAGAATTGACACGTCAACAGAACAAGAGAAAGCAAATAAAATTTGGAAATTCGAACTGCTAAAATAGAGTACATAATTAGACGATAAGACTTAATCAAGTATAGAATTGATTAACAAAAATAGCGTCATGAGAAATATGGACTTACTTAAGAGAATAAAAGTTTGAGAGCAGCGACTAAGAGAGAAACCAGAGGGTCGGAGATAATAAGAAGCAAATGGAAGAGAGAGAAATTCCGTATAGCGAGTGGCCTGCTAGGGAGAGAGCAGAAAGAGACCACATATATATGGACTACTAAAATAGTAAATTTCTCATTTTTTATTGAAACAAAATGGTAATAATTGTAAAAAGTTGAAGGAAAACCAAAAGTCAAGAGTTTCCTTGTAGTTTCGAGGGACAAACTAAGGGGTCGTTTGGTCGGAATACGATTTATATCGGTATAAGTTATGTCAGTATAAGTTATATTGGGATAAGTTATGCTGGAATTGTTGTTTATTCATTGTTTGGTATGTTGCATTAAGAATGACAATTGCATAATTTTTAAGAAGAAGGTATAAGTTATACCGGTGCTAATTACCCCACCTTTTATAAGGTATAGGTTATCCCAGTGTTAAAATTAACACCAGGATAACTTATACCTGGTTTGCTAACCAAACAGATTATTAAGGTGGTATTAAATTTTTATACCACCCTTATACCTTCTTATACCTCATACCAAACGACCCCTAAGAGGTTACAAATTTAATTCTTCATTCTGTAAATTCAAATCCCCAAATGGTCAGTTCATTACTCTAATTAGTATTCCCGCCCGTCCACAATAAGTGACTAATCTGCTTTGGGCACACCCATTAAAGAAATATTAAATTCTAGACGAAAATAGTTAGTGTGACTAAACTACCCTTCATTAAATGTTGCACCATAATTATAGTAGCACTTACTTCTCTTGTCAAATGTGAGTAAATGACTTTTTAGGGATACGTACATAAGGGTAATTTTGGAAAATGAATTGAATTTTTTCTTGATTTTATAAATGGATACTTATTTTGAACCAAAATAAAAAAAGCAAATTAGTCACTTATTATGGACCGGAGGGAGTACTCTTTTCAGTTCGCTTTAATTAATTTTTGGTTATCTTCGCACATATTAAGAAATTCACCGTCTAACATTAAGTAACATTAAAAATAATTATATAAACATTAGTTTGTTCATCGGAAATATAACAAATACTCTTAGGCTGTCACGACCCGTATTTTCCACCCTCGGGAGTCGTGATGGCGCCTACTAATGTGAGCTAGGCAAGCCGAATATTTAACAAATTACCTTTTCACCCATTTTATACTCTTTAACAATTAAAAACAATAATGTGAAAACAGCGGAAAATTTAAAATAAGCGGAAGAGAAGCAATAGAATATCTGAACATGTATCCTAAATAGCTGTTTGAGCCTCAACTACCCAGAACTGGTGTCACAGTTTCACAAACGATCTAAGAATACTACATACAAAGTCTAAAAAATAAACAATACACTGTTTCTGAATTAAGGAAATGAAACAGGAATAAAGGGATAGAGGGAGACGTCAGGGCCTGCGGACGCCTGCAGGTCTACCTTGGATCTCCGCGTGGATTGAAGGTAGTCACTCAATCTACGGTCCAAAGTCAACAGTACTGGGATCTGCACAAAAGAGTGCAGAGTGTAGTATCAGCAAAACCGACCCCATGTGCTGGTAAGTGCCTAGCTTAAACCCGGCGAAGTAGTGACGAGGCTAGGACCTGACTACTAAATAACTTGTGCGGTTAAATCATATACAGCGGAAATAGAAACAGATAATTATAACTAAAGTGGGACGGGGGAAACATGCTACGGGGAGTAACAGATAACAACAGAACGACTGTAGAGAAACATAAGAAATGCTCTAAATCAATTACCAGCAAAATAAGAAAATAGAAGAACAGGCACATAAGTAATACCGTTGCAGGCGTGCAACCCGATCCCATTACATATGATACCGTTGCAGGCGTGCAACCCGCTCCCATTTCTTACATTATCGTTGCAGGCGTGCAACCCGCTCCCATTTCATATATATTACCGTTGCAGGCGTGCAACCCGCTCCCATTTCACATATTACCGTTTCAGGCGTGCAAACCGCTCCCATTTCTTTTATCAACACCAATCAAAAGAATCCCGGCAAGGGAACAATAATATTGAAACAAACATCCCGGAAAGGGAACAATAATGATAATAACATCCCGGCAAGGGAATTACAATGATAATAACATCCCGGCAAGGGAACAATAATGATAATAGCATCCCGGCAAGGGAACAATAATAAAATCCTCATATGAAACGCAATAAACCACAACGGAGGCATAATAATTACAATACAAGACTCACGGGCATGCTTGACACCGACGTATAGATACTCGTCACCATGTCTATACGTTGTACTCCACAATTAACACGTAACAAATAAGACTCGACTCCTAATCCCTCAAGCTAAGGTTAGACCAAACACTTACCTCGATGCCACGAACACAATTCACGTCTCAACTATCGGATTTCACCACCAATTCGCTCATATCTAGTCACAAGTTACTTAATTACATCATTAAACGCTAAATGAATCAATTCCAATGCATGAAAATGAATTTTCCAAAGGTTTACCCAAAAAGTCAAAAATCGCCCCCGGGCCCACATGGTCAAAACCCGAGGTTCGAACCAAAACCCGATTACCCATTCCCCCACGAACCCAAATATATAATTTGTTTTAAAATCGGACCTCGATTCCTCAAATCGAGGTCCAAATCCCCAATTTTTGAAAAACCTAGGTTCTACCCAAAACACCCAATTTCCCCATGAAAATCATTGATTTTGAGTTGAAATCATGTTAAAAGATGTTGATGATTGAAGGAAACGAGTTAAAATTGACTTACAATCGATTTGGAAGAAGAGTTGTTCTTGAAAAATCGCCTTAGGGAGTTTGTCTTTTGAAGAGATGTGAAAAATGGTTGATTTTCGGCTAAGTATAAAAATTTGCAGGTTGCAGATGTGGGAGTTGCAAACCCCGACCTCTGCTATGTTCGCATTTGCAAAAACAAGTTCGCATTTGGGAAGTGGTAAATGCGAAGGATGCGTCACATTTGCGACGACTGGCTAAAAGGGAGAGTATCGCATTTGCGATAGAATCCTCGTAATTGCGAGGATAGGTTGGCTAGGGTTTCTTTCGCATTTGCAACATGCCCCTCGCATTTGCGATATCGCATTTGCGAGCCAATGCAAAGCCTGCAGTGCAACAGCTGAAAATCTGCAATTCCTCAAGTCCAAAATCCAACCCGTGGCCTATCCAAAACTCACCCGAGCCCTCGGGACTCCAAATCAAACATGCACACCAACCTAAAAACATCATACGGACTCGCTCGTGCATTCAAATCACTAAAATAACATCAACAACCATGAATTTAGCATCAAAATTATGAAATTTTCTTAAGGACTCCAAATTTCCAATTTTCTCAAAAACGATCTGATTCACGTCGTTTCAAGTCCGTTTCTTACCAAATTTCACAGACTTATCTTAAATCACATATAAGACCTGTACCGGGCGCCGGAACCAAAATACGGGCACAATTCATTTCCAAATCTCATAAATAATTTCAGAAAATAATTTTCTTTAAAAATTCATTTCTCGGGCTTGGGACCTCGGCACCTCTAAAACAACCGTTCGTCCTCGAACGGACAGAAGAAGGAAGTTCCTGAGTCGGGGAAAAGATGGGGATAACGGCTCCGCATATCGGACTCGGACTCCCAGGCCGATGCCTCAGCAGGCTGACCTCTCCACTGAACACGAACACAGGGAAAACTCTTCGATATCAACTGACGAACCTGCCTGTCTAGAATAGCTACCGGCTCCTCCTCATAGGACAAGTTCTTGTCCAACTGGACAGTGCTGAAATCTAGCACGTGGGATGGATCGCCGTGATACTTCCGAAGCATGGACACATGAAACACTGGATGCACAGCTGATAAGCTCGGCGGCAACGCAAGTCTGTAAGCCACCTCTCCCACTCGATCAAGAATCTCAAACGGGCCAATGAACCTAGGGCTAAGCTTGCCCTTTTTTCCAAATCTCATCACGCCTTTCATAGGCGATACTCGAAGAAATTCCGCTCCCCGACCATGAAAGCCAAATCTCGAACCTTGCGGTCGGCATAGCTCTTTTTCCTAGACTGAGCTGTACGAAGCCTATCGTGAATAATCTTGACCTCGTCCAAGGCATTCTGAACCAGATCCGTACCCAATAACCGAGCCTCTCCCGGCTCAAACCACCCAACCGGCGACCGACACCGCCTACCATATAAAGCCTCATAAGGAGCCATCTGGATACTCGACTGGTAGCTATTTTTGTAGGCAAACTCCGCTAAAGGCAAAAACTGATCCCACGAGCCTCCAAAGTCAATGACACAAGCTCGGAGCATATCCTCCAAAATCTGAATAGTCCACTCGGACTGCCCATCCGTCTGAGGATGAAACGTTGTGCTCAACTCGACCCGTGTGCCCAACTCTCGCTGAACTGCTCTCCAGGAATGTGAGGTAAACTGCGTACCTCGATCCGAAATGATAGACACGGGTACACCATGAAGACGAACAATCTCCCAGATATAGATCTCAGCTAACCTCTCGGAAGAATATGAGACTGCCGCATGAATGAAATGCGCTAACTTGGTCAGCCTATCAACTATAACCCACACTGCATCGAACTTCTTCTGAGTCCGTGGGAATCCAACAACGAAGTCCATAGTGATACGCTCCCACTTCCACTCAGGAATCTCAATCTTCTGGAACAAACCACCATGCCTCTGATGCTTGTACTTAACCCGCTGACAATTCAAACACCGAGCCATATATGCAACGATATCCTTCTTCATTCTTCTCCACCAATAATGTTGCCACAAATCCTGATACATCTTAGCGGCGCCCGGATGAATAGAGTACCGGGAGCTATGGGCCTTCTCTAAAATCAACTTTCGAAGACCATCCACATTGGGCACACAAACTCTACCCTGCAATCTCAAAACTCCATCATTACCTAAGGTAACCTGCTTGGCACCTCCGTGCTGCACCGTGTCTCTAAGGACACACAAATGGGGATCATTATACTGCCGATCTCGGATACGCTCCAATAATGAAGAACGAGTGACTGTGCAAGCTAACACATGACTGGGCTCAGAAACATCCAACCTCACGAACTGATTGGCCAA